TGCTCCGTGCCGGCTGCGTAGCCCCTCTGCAGCTACCCAGTGAATGCCAACGCTGCCAGCCCATTCACACGGCACACCTGGGACAGGCACTCAACAGGGATGCACTGTCCACCCCCCACCCGCTAGACGGGCCTGTGGCTGCCCCAGACAGACCCACCCCACTTCACACACAGCCCCTGAATGCAGAGGCACCACGTTTTCTCCCGCTGCCGACGATGGCACAGCGGAGCCTAGCTACGCCTTCCCACAGCGAGCGCGTCTGCCAGCTCCAGTCTGCCCACCGCTGCAAGGTTTCCCCGTCCCTTCGGCGCCGCAGTGGGGGAGAAGGCCTGTGCCATGGCCACGCGAGCTCTGACAGTGCACGCAATACGGAGAGGGGTTCTCTAGCACTGCCCTCCCAGGCGCTGGGGTTTGCCTCCTGGTCCGAGGCAGCCTCACATGTAGCGGCTGAGCAGAGCAGCCGTCCTGCTCCCCGAGCCGAGCTCACGATCAAAACAAAGCCAGAGCTGGGAGGCGCTTTTGTTTAATGGTTAGTATCCCCCATCCCCCGCCCCAAGAGGGGAGCAGACGGAAGGAGGCAATCCAGAGAGCTGCCCTGACAATGGCAGCAGGCAGCATCTGCGGGAAGCGCCTCCCCTCGGGCTCCGTGCAGACACAGCAGCCAGCCAGTCACGGTGGCAGGGACAAGAGCTGCCATGGCAGAGGAACAAGGCCACACAGACACCTGTCATTCACTGCCCTTCCCAACCCCCGCCTGGCAAAGGGAAACCAGGCCCCGAGCAAACAGCCCCAGCCCCTCAGAGCGTGCAGGGGCATTGCTCATTGTGGCTGGGTGAGCCCTCTCCCCTGAGAGCAGCCACTCGCCCCCAAGCTACCCATGTCCCCTGGAGCCCTGGCCGCTGTCCAGAGCGCACCCCACCCCAGCCGGTCTGCACACACTTGGCCTCTCCTCCACAGGAGGACTAATGCAGGTTCCACGCTGCTGGCTCATGCAGACACCCAGGAGCTCCCCCGTGCTCATCTGATCCTGGGGAGTAGAACATTCCCACCAGGGCACCTTCCTGCTGCCCACCTGCCCCCTCACTTGCCCCTGCTCTCCACAGAGCCTGCAGCTGCTGAGCCGAACAAGCCAGTTCCCGAGGCCCCGCTCAGCCAGTGCGTGCCCTTCTCTCTGGCACAGGCGCCCTCTCACCTGCGCTGTCCGCAGCCCCCTTTGCAAGGCCTTCGCCCCCCTTCGACTCCCAGCCTTCGTCCCGCTGCTGAGCCGAACAAGCCAGTTCCCGAGGCCCCGCTCAGCCAGTGCGTGCCCTTCTCTCTGGCACAGGCGCCCTCTCACCTGCGCTGTCCGCAGCCCCCTTTGCAAGGCCTTCATCCTATAGAAGACCAGCACTGACAAGCACTGGCCCAAACCTATCCCAGGGTGACACTGACCAGGGAGGGCTACTCGTAGCCATGGGATTCTGAGAGCTGCTTACCCACAGACCCAGCACCTCCCATCCCAAGCCCCTGGGTTTTACGCTCCCTGCCAAATGACACCAGGTAGAATTTTCTAATGTCCCTAAATGATGTAGGCACCTAACCCCTGCTGACATCTGCCACGACCCAGGTGCCTAAACCCCCCACATTCGCCAAGACTGAGGCACCTAAGTCACTTCCTAAAAGGAACCTCACTCCCAATGCTTCGTCTACACCTAGAAGGCTTTAACTCTCATTAGATCCTGACCCACCATGCTGTGCATGCAGTTACAGCTGTTTACAAGTGTTTAACCAGGGATCGCTCATCCCCGTGCGGGAGAACGAGGGCTGCTAATACAAATGCACCCACTTGAGGGGTTGGACGAGTATAACTGGATCAGCATGGGCAGACGGTGCAGCTGGGGCTGAGGGAGACAGGCCCCCAGTCCTTCCTAGAGCCCCACCCCCTCTGCTGAGGCCCTGCCCCACCACAGGGAGAGGAGGAGAAGGAGCAGCAGCACCCTGTGGAGCATGTTCCCCCCACACCATGTGGAGGGGAAGAGCATGTGCATGCCCCAGCATCCCCAGAGCAACGGGGAGGGAAGAGGCCACACGGCCTGAGCCTCCCCGCCCCCAGGAGTGGGGAGGGAGGAGGCAACGTGGCTCCAGCCACCCTGGAGCATTCTACCCCAAGAACACCTACCACAGGGCACTCTGGGGGCTGAGTGCGGGCGGGGCTGGCTGGCGGTTTGGGAAGGCAGAGCCTTCCCCTGCCTAGGCCACTGGACACCCACACAAAAACCACCTCCCTACGTGACATCGCTGTCCCTGTCAAGTGTCCCACCTCCACGTTACTACAGCCCCAGCCCCTGCCCCTGCCTTGCGGGCTGGTCCCATCCCGCTCTCTGGAGAGGGGCGAGCTTAGCCCCAGGACGATTCCCTGCAGGCAGAGCTCCTAATGGAAACAAAACCCAGCAGAAAACATGCTGGCGAAACATTTCAGGCGGCTTCATCCATCAGAGCGCCGTGGCAAAGGGCGCAACCCTGTGTTTCTCCTCTTGCAGGTCACGCATGTTTCCATCTTTCAGTACCGGGACATTGACGAGCTTGGCTCCAGTTCAAAGGTTTTGCCTGGAAATTATTTCCCAAGCAGCCTGCTCCACAAAGCCCTTCACATAAGCTCGCACTCAGCAGCTCCCGCAGCCGCCTACTGCCCCCACCATGCACGCGTGGCTCCAACGGCCTCCTGGCAGAAGGGCCAAGTTTCGACGGCGCGGATCTGATCGGCAAAGACACTTGCCTGCGGAGCACTGCCGCGCACGCCTCCTTCCGAGTGCCCACCAGGGATGCAAAATCCCAGCCAGCCAGTGAACTGCTTACACGTTCGATTAACCTAACGCTTAACCAGCTGCCCGATTCAGCAGGGGGCGGACAGGGTCCATTCCAGGCTGGCTGGAGCAGTCCCCAGACCACGGGGCTCGCAACTCCCAGCGCACGCCAGGGCTGGCTCTTCTGGCTCCCAGCCCCCACTGAGGGGTTGGAGCCACCATCAGCTCTCAGCCCCCACCAGGGCAACTCTCTCCACAGGGAGCCACAGCAGCCCCCACCGGTTACCTGGACCCGGTAGGCATCATCTGTTAAGGGAGATGCTTGCTGGTTAACCGGTTAACCTTTCACATCCCCACTGCCCCCACACACAGCACTTCCTCTATGCACCACCAGGACTGGGGCCACTGCTCCTAACCCCAAGGCCTGGGGCGGGCGTGGGAGGGGTGCGATTTATACCATCTATCAGAACTATGTTCGGTTTCTCTCACTGGCTGTTCTGGGCCAGCGCAAGCCCAGGCTTGGCCACCACTGCATGCACACGTGCGCGGCTGGGTGGTGTTTCATGGGTGCACTGCAGGGAGACAGGCGGGGTGATCACATCCGCATCCTCCAGTGCGGATGAGCCTCTAGATGCAGGTCTTAGCACAGTGTTCTGCCTCCCAGGGGAGAGTTGGCTGGTCCTGCACGCCGCCACAGATCGCGTGCAATCCACTGGAAACACTGTGGGCAAGGCCACTGCTGGGCTACGCTACGTGGGCACGGCAGCCAGAGGACGCAACTTCCCTGCCGGTGACCCAGCCATCTGAGCTCACGCTATGGGCAGGAACGGCGCAGCAGGACCACGGACGTGGGCGAGAAGAAAGTCCGCCGTTTCTGCTGCCCCGCTTGGCAGATGGATTCGCTCCAGCGCCAGACAAGTTTGCTGCCAGGAGCAGCAACAGAATCTTAGCACCTGCAGCTGGTCTGGAAGAGCAGGGTTCGCTTGTGGCCAATAGCCACTCACTCCCAGGTCAGCCCTGCCAGCCCCCAGAAGCCGCACGACGGCAAGCCAGTGCGAAACATTGAGCTCAGAAAACTGACAAGCGATGCCCATACACTGACTGACACCCGGTACCACCAGGCCAACGCACAAACAGAGAGAACAAGGCCCCGTCACCCCACCTGGCACTTGAGGTGAAAGCCGGCCTGCTCCAGCCTCTCCACCATATCCTGGTGCAGACTCCACACTCGCTGCCGCTTCAACAGGGACACTGGCTCCTTTGCTGCAACCGATGCAATTACAGAGAAGTCAAGGTTTGTCTCAGCTGCTGGGACCAGCCCAAGCCAGGAATCCATGCAGAGCACCGCTCGCCAAGGTGACAGCTCTGACAGCCAATGTGGCTGACCGGCTTGGCTGGGAGTGCATGCAGAGCACAGGGCTGGGCACCCGGACACCCCAAGCCACTCACAAGCTGGCACACCAATAAACCAGGCTCGCCCGGGGGAGGAGCAGAGACCAGGACAGCAACCATCTGGCACAATCAGCCCACCTAGCCACAGCCCTCAGCTACGGCCATTTGCCCAGACCAGCTGCCCAGTGTCACACAAAGGGGGAAGCAAAGAGATGCCTCCTCTTCCCACTGACAAAACACAACGTGCGCCCCACAGCTTCCTCAGCTTGCCACAGGCCTCGCCAGGCGGGAACAATCCTGCACAGGAGCAGGGGGGGCAAGATGCTCTTCCCTCCTCTCCAACCCTGGGACTCCGAGCTTGGCTGGGGACGTGGAGAGGCCCATCTCCCAGAGGCTACGGAAGGACAGTTCTTCACTGGCCAGCCCACTTTAAAGACGCCAGAGCCAGCTTCACCCCTGGCCCAGGGAGCCAGCTCATGGCCCAACACACCTTGGGCAGCACCTTGCCCAGGATACAGCCCACGCTGGCTGTTCTCAGTTCCATCCCCTTGCAGCTCCCCAGGGCCCACGCAGCACACTCAGCAAGTCCTCCTGGGGAGAGCCAGGCAGACTCCAGACCTGCCGCCTGTCCCAAGGACACTGGCAGCAGCTGCTGAAGAGGAGCAGTCCCACTACAGCCCAGCTCTGCAAAGCGGAGGGGAAGAAGACGTTCAGAGCACCGCTCCACAGAGATGGGGAGCAGACGTGGGGCTGCACAGGCTGCCAGATCTCCACAGCCAGGCCCTCACCCCACCCACGCAAGCTGGCAGCTCGCCCGCCTCTTACCTTCTCTGCCTTGACCTTCTTCGGCTGCCGGCACTCGCTTTCGCCGTCCTCCATCTCCGACTTAACTCCCAAAGGGTTGAGGGCCGCCCCCGTGTCGATCGCTATACTCCCGAGCTGCTCCGCCACAGCAGGCTCCGGCCCCGGGCCCGCGTCGTACTGTCCCACCCTCACGGCCAGGGCGAGAGGCTGGAGCACGCTGGGCTCCTTCTCGGACGGAGCCCCCACCCCCTCACTCCTTTCCTTCTTGCTCTTGGAGGAGCTGCCCTCCTTCTCCTTTTTGGAGCTGGCCACACTGCGAGCTGCCTTGGACTTCTCAGTGCCCTTTGGGAGGACAGCAGCCACCAGGCCGCCAGAGCCGGTGCCGTCCCCAGAGCGTCCCTGAACCTCCTTCTTGCCACTGGTCCCCTCGCCAGGAGTGAACAGAGCAGCTCCCGGCGCAGGCTTGCCACTGTCCTTGCCACTCTTGCTCCTCTTGGATTTGGACTTGCCCTCCTTGCCCTGTGGGCCCGGCACCGGCGTCACAAACTTGATGTTATCAGGCAGCGTTGCCACGGCGTTGGGCGCCGGCAGCCCCACCTCTTTGGAGCCCGACATTTCCAACTTCTGCTGGTCCTTCTCCAAGTCAGCGTCCAGGTCAATGATGAGGTTCCCTACTCCAATGTCCCACTCATCCCCACTGTCGTACGTCTCAACGGGGTTCGCATCCACTCCTTTCCCTCCGGCAGCTCCGCTGCTCAAGGACATCTTAGAATTAACTGCCCACCGCGAGGTTCCAGGCTCTCTCCGACCCCGCGCCGTCCGGATCCCAGGCAGCAGCTGCAGCTACGTTCTCAGGCCTCCGGCGCTCAGAGTCTGCCCAGGTGACGGCATCATCGCTGAAAGGGAGAGCAAAGAACAGGTATTACAGCGCGCCATTCGGAAGCCCGACCGAGTGATGCTTCTGGGACAGACACATGCCCCTTCACCACCGCAGGGGACCCAACAGGTACCTGTGCACCACCAGACACACCGAGCCTGGGCTCACCCTCACATACACACCCCACAGACACACAGAGCCCGAGCTCACTCTCAAACACACTCACACACCCCCAACTCACCCTCACACAAATACACCCCACAGACACAAGCCCGAGCTCACACCTCACTACAAACACATGGAGCCTGAACTTGCCTACACACACACACACACACACACGGAGCCTGAGCTCACCACCACAGACAGACGCACACACACATCCCACCACCACAGACACACTGAGCCTGAGTTCCCCCTCCCCCTCACATACATGCTGTCACACTCATATCCCACCCCACAGACACACAGAGCCTGAATTCACCCTCACCCACACACACACATGCACAGAGGGCTGTGCTCCATTACATGCCCCGGGCACGGCTGCCCACACCTACCATGTCTCATCCCACAAACACTCACAGTAACGTACACGATTTCAGAGACCGAAGGGGACCAGAGGGCACCAGATCCTGCTGCCCCCAATCTGCCCACACACAGAGTCCGGAGCCCGCTGTCCATGTGGGGAACAATCCCCAACACCCCATCCCTCCAGCCCCCCTGCCCTGCCACAAGAAACTGAACAGCCTGCGATGCCCCCTCGCAGCGCACATCCTGCTCGCCCTGGCAGGGGCCCAAGGCATGGCACCCTTGTGGCAGCTGCCATCAGGCACCGCTCCCTCAATCAATACAGGCCCCAGCAGGTCACAGCTCCCAGCTTCAACAAGACATTACTCACACGCTCCCTGCTTGGCACTTCCCTCTCAATTACTGAGCACTCCCTGCAGACAGCTAGGGACCGAGGCAGACACCAGCCTTGAGACTGGGCTGGGGCCAGACCCTTGATCGCACGGGACCAGAGTCACTCCCTAGGGACGTTAGTGCACTGGTGGGAAGGTGGCGTCTGGCCCCGGAATGAGCACAGCGGGACAGCCAGGTGAGAGCCCTGGGGGCAAACGGCAGGGACTAGCTTTGCACCCCCAGAACTCACCTCTAATCTCCAGCGACAGACCAGACCATGTCAGTCACTTTCCAGCTCCCACACTCGAAAGCCCCAATACCCAGCACAACCCACGGCTGGGAGAGGCCCTGGGCCGGATGAGGAATGGCGGTGACCAAGTCTGGACTGACTGGCACTGGCAGAGCTGCAGCAGAGGAAGGGGGTGCTCAGGACTGGACTAGCCAGGGGACTGCAGGTCAGGACTCAGGGCCATGAGCAATGGTGGGTAAGAGCCCAGGGCTGAAATCAAGTCTGAAGGGCAGAGGCAGTGCCGTGGGCAAGAAGCTGACACTGCACGTCACCTCTTTGCCAGCCACCCCCAGTCAGACCTAGCATCCTCCCATGTCCCTCACCCCTAGTGCTCCCCACAGCCAGGGCAGGCACTCAGAGCTCAACGGGGGGGGACCAGCATCACTCATGGAAAGTATCTCGCGGCGATTGCATTACCAGATGTAATTAACACACGAAACAGCCAGGCTCTCGGCCCCAGCAGCCCCCTCCATGCTCTGGGGAGAAACCCTTGGCCTCCCCACTCCGTGCGGCTCCTCTCAAGTGCCATTGTCCTCTTCCTGCTGCTGAGCACCCAGCCCAGAGCCACCGGGCTATTTCGGAGCAACACTCCAGAAGCAGGGGACTGAATAAAACCCATTCGCTTTAAACCCCAGCAGGCAGGAGCCTGGCAAGCAGCTTCGTGGTGCGTTTTCAGAGACACACACACTGTAAAAATGCCCCGGATTCTTTCATCCGACGGGCTGCAGCAGCCAGACCATTTTCCATCTGCTCCCCACAGCACCCCTGGCTCCGTACGCCTAATAAGCCGCTCTCTGACAGGTCATTACGGAGATTTGTAACCCCAGGAGCCGGGGCTAACCCGCGAGCTGGAAATGAAAAGCACTGACCTCTCGTTTCAATGGCAGAGAAAGTGCAGAATCAGGAGAACGCTGCGCGCAGCACTGGAGTCACTCACAGCTTTCAAAAGCCGCCATGTGTGTTCCTCCCTCCCTCTTCCCTTGCCCCAGCCCGCCCTGCCCCCTCTCCGCCCTGGTAATCCACTTCCCAGCTTGGAGCATGCACCACAGTCAGCAGCCTCAGCACTACCCCACCAGCTGCTCTGGTCTACCTGCCTCTCTGGAGCCACTTTCCCGGTCCATGCCTGCCAGATAGGGCCATTTGTGCTTTGTTCCTCCAGCTGAGATCACAAACAGGCTGCTTCCCTGCAGGGATCAGCCTGACGGGGATGTGCAGCGATCAATTCCCCTCGCTCCCCCTAGCTCCCCGCCAAAATGAGGAGCAGCTCGTCTCATCCCAAGCAGCAAAACCCTCCGTGCCAGCCCCCAGCCCCAGCTCCTGGCTGCCACAGGCACCACGTGCACACAACTGCCTTTGTATCACCAGCCCTCTGCGATTTCTTTGTCCAGCTGCACAGGGCCAATAATGTGTTTGGCTGCCCATGCTGTTGGGCCACAAAGGCCCCTCCCAGGGGTGAGATCAGCCCCAGGACAGAGGCAATTGAAAGGTAACAAATACTGTAACAGGCTTTTGCCCAAACGCCTCCATTCCTCCCACGTGCAGCAGGCACTTGCAGACCAAGGTTTTGCTGGGTAATGACAGCTCAGAGCACTATTGGCAAAATACAGACCTGCCCCCCCCTCGGGATGCCCAATATTTACCCTATACCAACAGCCTCTTCAACCGTTTATCCGGAGTCCAAGAGACTCCCTGGTTCATATCCAAAGCCCACTTTAGAACCCGACCCCCTCCTTTTGATAGCCAACTGCAGCCTGTAAAAACTACCAGTCCCAGCATGCAACACTTCATACTGATGCCAGGGTAAGGCCATGTAAAGGGGTGAGCATTGCATGCTGGGACCTGTAGTTCACATGGCCATGTTATAATGACCCCAGCATGGGTCATGTTGGACAGCACACCACAGCCTGTGCTTTGCTCTGCTGGGATCAGAGAGCTTCCTGCTTAATTCATTTCTATGCTCTCTCAACTGGATTTGTAAAGGAAAGCAGATGAGATGGAACAGGGCTCTGGCCTAGACCCAAGCAAACAGGCCCAGAATCCCAAAACAGCCCTCAAACCTCCACCCCACTGAACAGAAAATTGGTCCTGGAAGTCCACCAAGTCCCTAAAGAAAGCAGCCAAAGAGCCTAGCCCAGGTTCGGGAAGTAAGAGACCTGGGTACATGGAGCCTGTAGAAGAGATGCAAGAGGAGACTGGGGGCGGGGGATAGGAGAAGCCAGCTCAGAAACGATGGAGACACCTCCTGCCTGCAAGAAATTCTCACCCAGCATCCAACAGCAGGGCTGCTGGAGAGCAGCAGCTCTCAAACTGCAGCTGGGGACCTCACTGTAATGGGATCAGCAAGGCCGGCTTAGAATTGCTGTGGCCCAGGGCTAACGGCCAAGGCAGACGCACAAGGGCTTCAGCCCTGTGTAGCAGGGCTCACGTGATCTGCTGCTTCAGATCTGTGCTCTCCCCTGCCCCCCGACCTTGACCCCACCCCCCAGGGCACTGGAGCTCCAGCCTTGGCTGTTGGCAGTGGGGTTCGGGTTAACTGAATAGCTGATTAACCTCATGGATTCTTATCTATTACTTGACTAGTCTCTAGTCCCCGGGGGCGGGGCTGGCAGCCAGTGCACAGGAGCCCCCTGTCACTCCACACTGCTGCCTGTGTACCAGTAGGCAGGAGCTGGTCTGCAAGGGGAGCCATTAAAAACCAGCTCCCCACGTCGACCAGCTGCCTGTCACCCCGCACTGCTGCCTCTGATGCAGAGGCAACAGTGTGGAGAGGTAGCAACCCTGTCCAGTGGGGGGAGGGGCTGTGTTCCCAGGCCTGGCGCAAGCTGGAACTGAGCCGGGCTGCCTGCCCATCTGGCTCCTAATACATTTTAAATGCAGAGCTGCAGCGGGGGCTCGCGCCAGGTCTGAGCCAGGCTGCTGGCCTGCCTGCTAAAAGATTTACTGAGGCGGCGGAGGGAAATGCATGCAGTCTGTAGCACTGACCTATAAGCTTCTGCTTACTGGTTACCCTAGTTTGGATAGGCTGAGGCTTGGGGTCATAGAATTTGAGAACCCCGGTTTTAGAGCCACTGTGGGGGAGGGGACTAGACAACTTACTGCCGCTCCTGAAGAACGATTCACACCAGGCTTGAGATCCCTGGCTGCTCTCCTGCACCCACCATTTCCTACATGTGCAGAATGACTTAGCTCAACTAAAGCAGCCCTCCCCATCTCAGCACCATCATTCAATGCCAATCACTCCCCTCCCACCCTGAATTTCTACCCTCCAGGCTCCAACCCAGCCTTCGCAGTCAGCTGGTGAGTGATCTGGTCCCGCTCCAGCGGAGCTTTGACTGAGGAAGAGCTGCCACCGGGAGCAGAGCATCCCCAACTCAGCACAGAGCTGGAGGTAACACACAAGGGTCAGGCACACAGTGCGACCCACAGCAGGCAACTCCCAGCCGGGGGCATCCCTCTGCAGCAGCCTGCAACGTCTGAAGAGCTGGTGCCCAGCAGATGCCCTTTCAAGCTGCACTGTCCAACACGCTGTGCCCTCTGCCCCAGCCATGCAGCCCAAGGGAAGGCAGGACTTGTCCCCCAGAATGGAGAAAGACCAGAATCCCCCTGTGAACAGGACAAGCAGCAACCTTCAGGGGGCAGGGCTGATCTCGTGCCCTCGCACACTGCGCTGCCTCACAACCACAGCTGACAGGGAATTTCCAACACCCGCATTAGGAAACACTAAGCTTGGCCCTGCGGAAACTGTTACGGCCCCAGAGAATGCAACCTGTGAGGACTACGGGTCCCGGCTGCAATACGCCCACACCGAGTGCAAGCCAGGGTCTGCACACACCACAGGCTGCACAGCCAGACTCAGGAAGGCTCTTGTTACAGCTTGATCCACTGATGCACAGCCTACTGGCTCCTGGCAAGCTGCCCCCATTGGGTGCCCAGCAGAAACTCTGCCCCTGCTGGGAGAAGGATACGAGGCATAAGGAAATCAAAGAACCACAGAGAACCGTGAAGAGGTTTACGCAGTGCCTACGAGTCCTCCCCTTGGCCCCTCCACAACAGAAAGGCATGCAGTCACCTGGGAGGCTGGGAACCTGCCCACAAGGCATCTGAAGAGGAGCAGAGGTTCTTCAGGGAGACAGCTCTGCACTGAGGAATGCTGCGCACACTGTACCAGGCATGAATAATTCAGCTCCATTTGGTGCTGGAGCAGCCACAATCCACATCTATGCACTGGGAAGGAGCCAAGGCACAAGAGACAAACCGGAAAGTTCACTTTCTGAGCTAACAGCCACTGGCAAGCAGGGAGAGAGAAAGCTATTCAAACGGACAGGGAGCATTTCAAACACAGCAGCACCGAGCAGGGAGCTAGGAAACCACATTAGCCAGGGCTCTCTGGGCTGGAACACACCCCAGCGGCTCCTCTGCAACTCTAAGGAGCCTTCCTTCCTCCTGGGCTGGTGTAGGAGCAAAAGGCAGAAAAACCACAGCACGGAATGACTTAACGCCCAAAGGTGACAGAAACCAGGAGCAAGCTACTCTCAAACACAGCAGCACCGAGCAGGGAGCTAGGAAACCACATTAGCCAGGGCTCTCTGGGCTGGAACACACCCCAGCGGCTCCTCTGCAACTCTAAGGAGCCTTCCTTCCTCCTGGGCTGGTGTAGGAGCAAAAGGCAGAAAAACCACAGCACGGAATGACTTAACGCCCAAAGGTGACAGAAACCAGGAGCAAGCTACTCCGCGGCCGGCCAGCCCGCCCACACATAAAGAGACGGTCTCCTACCCATGCGCCTGAATCTGCAGCACTCCGG